TGAGAGATTTGTCTATTCTCCCTATTCCTATAGTCCTTTAATCATTATTTTTATCAGTATGGACTCATGCATATTTATTTCATATTTTGAATTATCATCCAGTACTACTTTGTTTTGCCCAACTTGTGCCAGCTTGGGCTCTTGGGAGCTCTTTTATTTGGTTCCTGGATCCCCTTCATTGGGTTTTGTTAGTTTCCTTGTTGTTGTGGTTTTTTGGGTTTCGGGGGGTCTTTTTGATCTTGTCTGTTTGTTTGTTTTTAGCTCTTCTTTATTTTCTAGCTCTACAACTTACTCCAGGCTCATCTTATATATCTCCTGCTCCAGTCCTAGAATCAGTCATTTCTGCAAGAGCTCTGGTTCCTTGTATCAGAAACCAAAATCTGGGTATTAGATGTGCTTGTTGTTACTGGGGTGTCATCATTTCCAGGCCCTCTTAGCTGACAGAACAAGGAAATATGTGTGTGTATAGTAACTTGTGTATCTGCTTATCTCTGTATCTAGATTATATTAAACATGAACTCATACTGGAGTCTCATACTGGGTCTCCCACACTAATCCATTAGCACATGTGTCATTCTGACCTCCTTGGCTTGCAACCACACTAACACTGAGAAACCTGGATGTCACCATCTGCCATCCATTTACCTATGGCTCCACTTGTAATTTTTCTGAAGAAGAATAAGAAAAGCTGTAGGTAAATGCTTCCACATATTACAGTATCCAGACCTAAGGTGCAGACATTTACGGAGCAGACATTGTGGGGGACAGGACAATTCATGTCATGATCCAATCCCAGCACAGACCTACCTTTGGTGGCTGGTACCATTCCAGTGGGCGCTCGTCGGAACACAAAATGTCCTTTCAAAACGTGTCTCTGACGCCCATATGGGGAGGATGAAGACCACCAAAGCACACGTGGAGGAAGCCTTGAAGATGGTGGGGTGAGAGGGAGAGTCGTGGTTTGCCTGCTAAAGAGAAAACAAGATTGGAATCATTCATTTCCAAAAGCACTTTCCAACCCCTGTTGAATAATGGATCCCTTCGAGGCTCTGATGAGGGCTCTGGAGGGACCCTCAATCCAGGGAAACATTCGCATAGATCGAGAAGCATGAAAACATTGCTCCATGGTGGGGGAAACCTCTGAGCCCATATTTGGATCTCAAGTTCAGAAAACCTTATGTATATTACATGAAAGTCAAGCTTGTTTGTTTGCTTGTTTGTCGGTGGGGAGAGGTGAGCAAGTGGGCTCCGTGTGTGGAGGTTGGGTTGCTTGAGCCCTGCTGTTTTCAGGATAAAAGAAGCTCCTGCCTTCCAGGTGGGGGCCCAGGATCGGTCACTGGCAGCTGCCAGTTCAATAATTACTCACATTTATAGCAAGTGACACTGGTTTTCTATTTATAGAAATCATAAACAATTTTTTCTTTTAAAATCAATCTAAGCGTTATTTTTAATAAAATCAGTTTAAAGAAACCCACGAAGGGACCTGTGGGGCAGTAGAGAACTGAAGTTTGGGGAACAGGTACCAAGAGACATGTCTCAGGCATAATGAAAAGTGCACATGTTTTTGAGCCCAAAAGGTCTAGATTCAAAGCCCCTCTTTCCCATTTGCCAATGGTGTGATCTCAGGGAAGGGAACTTGCCCCATCTGTCAATAATAAAATCTGACCCACATGGCAGTCTTTCTCCAAGTGTGTTTCCTGTACCACCCACATCAGAGTCACCTGAGGTGTTTGTAAAATGAAACTTCCCAGGCTGCCACCCAGAGCTTTCTTTATCAGATAGAATCCTGGAAATCTACATTTCTACAAAGCCTGGAAATCTACATTTTAACAAGAGCCCCCAATGATTTTTATGGTGTTCTGCAGGCTTTGGAGAGGATGAAATGAACTGAAATAGGTAAAGCACTTGCCACACAGGAGCAGAAAGGACACTGCTATTCTGGGCTGCCCTAGCATCTGAACGTTACCTCCTTTTGAAGGGATCCCAAATGGCCTGCTCAGGACTGTCATGGATGGTTGTGCAGGTTGTATACTGCACAAGTCTGGTGATGGGCTGTGCAGGTTGTATACTGAACAAGTCTGGTGATGGGCTGTGCAGGTTGTATACTGAACAAGTCTAGTGATGGGCGCCCTGGAATTGTTTGGTATGTAATCCACATGGTCATACATGCCTCCCGTCCCAGAAGGAGCACAGCTGATTTAGACCCTCCCAATTCTTTCCCCTTTTTTTTGAGCCTGGTTCTCCCAGTCTTCCTTCTGGTTCTCAGCTACACAGCAGCCTTCTAGTGAATTCCTTCACTGATCAGGGGGCCTAGAAGTGGATTTTGCTGTTTGTGGTCAAGAAACTTGACGGGGTGAGTGAGCAGTGACTACTGTGTTTCCTTCCATCCAGGGTTCTTCAGCTGTGTTCCTGGGATTTGGGGGGGGGGGTGCTGGAAGGGCCCATCCCTGGTTGAGAAGTTAAGTAAGTAAAGATATGACCAGCTTCTGCATCCAAGCTCTGTTCTGCTTCAACCTGTTTTAGAGATTAGATTTTGAGTCAATAGTTCATTTGGAAAAATTAATTCCACTACCTTTATAAACAAAATGTTTGAAAAGTGCTGCCTGTTACAAGGCGGAGGAGAGTGAGGGTAGCGGATGAAGGCGCTCAGGTCAGTCCTGGAGTCTGTAGGGCAGGGCCCCCAACACCCTCCTTTCAGAAGCAAACACGGACACGAGGTGTTAAAACCCTATGCCAGAGTAGGGGGAAATTCTTGAGGCCTCTCGAATGCTGCCCTCTCCTGCCTATGGGAAAATTGACCATGTCCACTTAAGAGAAGAAAAAAAGGGGAGTTGGTGTGACCGGATGGATTACCACGTCAGTCCATCAGTCGAAGTCCCCTGACCTCGGGCGGAGGGAATAGGTGGGGACTCCTGACAGTCTCCAAAGACCACAGCCAAAAAAAAAATGACACCAGTTGTTACTGAGGGACCCAAGGGAGAGAAAGTATGTGGCCCTTCCTTTGTCATGGGGACACCAGCCTGTGGGAGTGAGGGCAAAGAAAGAGAAAGGGGTCTGGACATTTTCTAGAGGAACCAGAGCCCCCCGCCTCCCCAGGTCTGGACATTGGGAGCATAAAGGCAGACATATTTCCTCTCTCTCCAAAATTTGACATTTGCAAGGGAGGCATTAAACTGTCATTAAACATTTCCTCCTGGTTCACAATGAAGACGGTAGAAAAACTTTCTCCAACAAAAGACGGTATGTTGAGTATTCTTATAAATATTATCCCCGTCACCTGCTTATCATGAATCAGCCGCCCCAGGGCTGGCTGCAGCTTTGCTCTCTCAGTGGGTCACAGACACCGGGGACTGTGTTCATTCTATTTCCCTTGCTTTACTAATTTATTCTCTTTCGCCCCATGCTCCACTCCCATCACCCTCCTTAACCTCATAAGAGTAGGCAGGTAGTTTTACAATTAGTACATAATTGAAAAGTTGGGTTATAGTAAAAGACACACCATATAAGTTTACAGCAATGGCTGCGGGGGTGCCATCTGATACAAGTTGTGGACCCTCTTCCTGGAAAAATCTGCCTCTATTCAAACACACAATTTTGCCATTTCTGGGGTTCAGGGACGCCTAAGCCCCTCTGTGGACATTCTCTCAACCCCAAGTTCATTACCCCTGTGCTATAAGAAAATTGTGAGAAATAGGAAAGTATTTGCAATGCCAACTCCTCTAAATGGACTGTATCTTTTATCATTTCAAAATTTCCTGTGCCACTCATAATTATACTATTGGGTTCCTTTGTCTCATTTCCTTGGGTTTCCATTTGGAAAGGAGTTTTAGAAAACAATCCCTATGTATGTCTGCAGTAGGTTAATACCTTCAAGAGAAAAGTCCCCCTTGAACCCTACACCCTCATTCACTCCACACACCCTTGCATCTCTCAGGGATGAACAGCCCTGCCTCCCAGAGTGGGGACCAGCTCTGCCTTCTCCATACCTTCACATCCCCATTACCATCTTCATACATTGCCAATGATTTATAGGCAGAATTTGTGCCACTTCCTTCACTAATGTTACTTAAGGGCGTGCACGCACATCTGAAGTATTCAGTAAATGTCTGCTAAACCAAGTGAAATTCCTACTCTTTAGCTGGGAAAAATTTTAATGCAGGAAAATTAAGGAGCCAAGTTTTAAAGAGACACACTACCTAGGAGCTAGGATTTGCAGCACATAACAATATTCTCTTATTTTTGCTTCAGATCTTTGTTGGCTTAAAAGAATTCAGATTTACAGAAGATTTTATTCTCTGGTTTCATTCTCTCATCCTGCCCAGTGCAGAAAAAGCAAGGTACAGAATATGTAAAAAATCATTATTTTGGTAGGTAGCTTTCCGATCTATTTTTATAGGACTTGTACGACATGTAATTTTTAGTATGTTTTACATTATTTAAAATTTTTTACATATTCTGTACCTTGCTTTTTAAACTCAATATGTTTTCAAGATCTATTCTTGTTCATGCATAGAGATCTAGTTTATTTGCCTTAGGTATTTTATAATATCCCATGGTTGGACTATGCCACGTTGTGCTTATCGATTCCCAAATGACAGGCATCTAGGGCCCCCTGCCCAACTTTTCATTATAACAAACAATGCTGCAATGAACATCCTTCTTACCGCTCGGGTTACTTTTTGTACATATTTCCTAACACACCGTTGGCAAAGAGGGGAAGGATGTTGGGAGGATGTGGAAGTCATGTTGGCTCATATAAGATTTTTTTCCCCAACATGTTACTGTTTTGAAGCGATTAAAAGAGAAAGTCTTAGCCACAAATGCAGACCCGAACTGAAAAACATCTTTCTTCAGAGCAAAGAGTGACAGCTTTCATGGCTTTGAGGACCACTACTAAATGACCTGGTGACACTGGGAGTGCAGAGGAAGAAAACAAAGAAATTGGAAACATTTCCTCCTGTATTAAAACAACGGAAGAATGAAGAAGGCTATTGCCAGGGTCATATTTTTAATTTTTATGAAAATGGTCTCGACTACGGGGCACCCACACCTACCTATCCCGGAAAGTAGGAGCCACAAAGGACAGGCAGATGACAGCAGTGAATTAACTGCACTATATCTTGTCATGATATTTAAAATATTTTTGTTTTTGTTAGTTCTTGTATGACAAAATTCCAGTTTTTGAGTGTGTGTCCACCCTGCCCCCACCCCACCACCGCCATTTTCCCCATAAGGCTTGCTACTTGTAGTAGAGGAATTTGCACCGATTTCCTTTAAGTGTCTGTGGAAGAGGGTATGTTACCTAGCAGTGGAATTGCTGCATCACTGGAAGGTACCATTTTAATGATTCTAGATTTTTCCAAATTGCTCTTCAAAGTTGCTTCACAAATTCACACTCCTACCCGGAGAGGAAGGTCCTTGTTTTCCTGCTTCCATGCTATTGCCTGGTGTTGTTAGACTTTATTTTTTACCAGTAGCATGGGTATAAAGTACCTTCTCATGATTGTTTTAATTTGCATTTCCCCAGTTGCTAGTGAAACAGCATATTTTTATGTGCTTATTGGCCATTCCAGCTTTCTCTTCTGGGTATCACCAGTTTATTGCTGTCAATTTTAAAGCAGAATTGTTTGTCTTTTCCTTATTGACTCATAGGAATTTTTTTTTCTTTTTTACTTTTTTTAAAGATTTTATTGGGGACTTGGGGAAGGGAACCAGCCAAGTTGTTGTTCTTCAATCTTCGTTGTGGAGGGTGCCAGTCGCCATCTGGCTTCCAGTTGGCAGCTTGTGGCCTCTAAGCTCAAGGTGCTGTATTCGATCTTAGTTGCGGGTGGGCGTAGCCACCATCCCATGCGGGAGTCAAACCGGCAGGCTTGTTGTTAAGAGTGCACGCTCTATTCACTGAGCCATCTGGGCGGTAGCTCAGCTCAAGGTACCGAGTTCAGTCTTAGTTGCGGGTGGGCGTAGC